TTTATGTTATGAGTCCCATGTAATAGGGGGTGAGCCTATTGCCATATACCGGGCACAATTCCAGACTCCGTGCTACTACTGAGAATATTTAAAAAAACTCGTTATAACTTTGCCCGACCCGGGAATCGAACCCGAGACCCTTTGCTTGGCAGTCGCACTTACGACCACTCGGCCAACGAGGCAGTCAATTAATTTTCTAAAATCAAACAATTTTAAATCTTTATAAAATATTTATAGATGTATCTATGATCTACCACATATATAACGATTACATATTGTATAAAAATCTATAGGGAGTAATATTGACGTTCCCTGCGAATATATTAGTTCGGAGTTCGGACTACTTTACCAATTTTGAGTACGTATTGTTATTTTAAAACTACATACAATAAAATGTAATGAAAAAATAAACTTATGAAATGCCTATTGTAATATCGATGTAATGAATTATGGGTTATTATTATAAGTACAAAATTTTCTTTGAAATGTTATTTAATACTTGCGAAATCTTCTTGGAATGTCTATAGTTTATTTGCTAAGTTTTGTAAAGACCCTAGGTAGGTAGGTAGATACTTATTTAAGGAAGACAAACAAATATCTCATAGCTTATATTGGCAAATGATCTACTATTATTATTGAATAACATCATGACGTCACGCCTTTTGTCCCCGAAGGGGTCGCAGAGGTGCACATTACGGCACTTAATGCCACTGTACAATGTAACATCCTCTTTTCTCACTATTTATATTATGAGTCCCATGTAATAGGGAGTGAGCCTATTGCCATATGCCGTGCACATTTCCAGACTCCGGGCTACTACTAAGATATTTTTTAAAAACCCAGAAATACTTTACCCGGCCCGGGAATCGAACCCGAGACCCCTTGTCCGGCAGTCGCACTTGCGACCACTTGGCAAACGAGGCAGTCTTTCAGTTATTATTAAGTATATTGTATAGATTCATACAAGTAGAATATTTAATAGAAAAGTATAACCAGTTATAACAAAAACAACCGCAAGTCTGCTTACGACAGAGCAACAATAACTAATTCTACGATATGATTACTGGGTTCTGTTGGCAATTAATTTCAACATATAACAAATAAGAACCCTAACTTTAAAGATATAAGACTCATATTCGAAGAGTTAGGAATAAGGTAATGTATATCCCGATTATATAAGTTACAAATCATGAACTAAAATCTATACAGTCTTTAAATATGCGAAATACAACTTTAAAAACATCATACTAAGCTCTGTTTTTCTTCGGGTACCGGTTTGCGGGAATTTTCTTCCATTTCTTGTTGCTTGAATCTGGCGTAGAGGGCGCTGCTGAATAGTACTATGATGTTGGAAGTCCACCAGAGAACGTTCTTGGTTTCATTGTACCACTGGGTCGCTAGGACTGTTTGGGCACAAGCCTTAGCAGTGCCTGATATGTTGTGTGTTAGTGGAGAAGTAACCTGGAATGTTAATATAGTTTTGTTATTTACAAAAATGCTGCAAACTCATATAAGTTTTTTTATTATTTGTTAATACAGACTCAGTTATTAACCGCCCTCTTATAACTGACCAAAAGTGAATACTAAATTTAATTTGTATACATATGCAGCTATATTAAACGAATCTCACCTTTATCTGCAACGACGTAAAGTATCCAATAGCAAAACCGCACAATCCACCAATGACCATTTGTATCCAGAAATATCCACTAGTAAAATTGGTATAACTCAGTAACACAGAGACTTCTCCATTTATTACAATAAGAGGTAAGAATAAGAAAATGGAGTAGGCGTTATTATAAAAAGATAGCAACCAAACTTCTTGGTTTACGCTGGGTAAAACCTTCTTGGTATAAATTGAGTATAGAGAGAGCATTAGAGATCCGATCACTCCATATACTGTACCTATTAAAGAAAATGAACCTGTAACATAAAAATATATTTTTAGTAAAACAATAATAGTATGAATTGCCTACTCTACTTACTAATTGTCCTCCTTACCAATTTCAAATTCAATATTCAAATTACTATTTGTAGATCATAGGTTACAAAAGATCTTACATGTTTTATATTTAACCAGCTATGTTTTGTTTATTTAACATCACGCCTTTTATCCCCGAAGGGATAGGCAGAGGTGCACATTATACCACTGTACAATGTGACACCCACTTTTCACTATTTATGTTATGAGTCCCATGTAATATAGTTTTTTTTTATTTATATATTGTTTATTTCGGTAATGGCTACCCTTAATTACTATCTCCAATTGTGTGCTCTAAAGTGACTGGCCAGACCGAATTTAGTTTTAACAATCCGATCACAACTAGAGCAGTAAAGCTGGCCGGTAGAGTTGTATGTGTAAGTACAGGAGGCTTTAGGTTTGTCTTTTTATACATATACATAACCATGCAAAATTGCTACCATATTGAACAAGTGTATAACAGTTGGAACTTTTTTACAACAGTTATTAAATGAATCTCACTTGGTTTAGGCCCGTGATTTCATTAAACGACTTTCTTAGAATGCAGAGAAAACCTGCATTTAGACCACTGATATGTACCACATAGTATGTAGGTATTTGATATCAAAATATTTAATAGTTCCTGTTTCATAAATATGACAGGAAGTGAATTGAACTTATCACTACACATTGTCAAGGATTGTATGCCTAAATTAGGTGATAACAAGTGTGCATGCATATAGCTTAATTTATTTTAAAAATGTTGTTAGAATTCATATTTGTAATATATATCATAAACTGTGGTATGCCAGTCGAATATAGCGTAAACCACATGCCTCCTTTCACCTTAGAAAGAGTGATGATAATCAAGTCTTTGGATGCTAAGAGCATAAACTGTTTTCTTCTATCTACAGACAGAAATAGGTTGGTTATATCTAAAGTGCAAGGCAAGCACTATGGCAACGCTGCCGATCTATAGTCCCGCGCGTCTCGCGGCGCCCTCCGTAATCTCGCCCTAGGCACTTGCCTAATTTTTCTTAGGGATAAGGATAATACAATTCTGCTACATGATATTGTAACAAAAGCAAGTTGACAGGAGCCTAAGATAAAGGAACAAATCATAGATCTCATATATTTTTACGCTTACCTAATAAATTCTCCTGGTCTACTCCAAGGTAAAATCCAAATATGATAAGACCACAACAGAATATGCATCTGTAGGAAGTCCTTTGACCAAGTAATACCCAACTGAATACTACATTAAATACAGTAGTTAGAGATCTTCCGATGTAGTAGAATGGAACTCCTACGTACTTCAGACATAAGTTATTTGTAGCTATCATCAATGTGAACATTAATGAAAGTGGGATAACCTGAAAATAACAAGAAGAATCATATTTTTGTATTGGTAAAGATTTAAAGAAGCACAAGAAGCTAATCAACTTTAGCTCGCTTAATTTACTTGATTTGCTGTTCGACTAGTTTCAAGGCTCGACAGGGGCCCATAACCAAGAGCAGCATGCGTGACGTTCGCTGGGAGTCACCAAACGCTTCATGAGACTATTATTGAGCAGGACACTTAATAGCTTCGTAACATTTTTTTGTAAATGCGATGGCGTAAGGCATTATCCGACCAATTCCTAACTGGGTTTAGGTACTTCTAATAACTTCTAGGTTTAGGTACAGCTGGTAGGTAAACAGAAATAAGTGGTTAAAGTAAAAGTAGTTGTTTATCTTTGACTATCTGATTAGCACAACAGTGTCAATATGTGTTACTAGATTAGCCGTTAGACATTTAGTCGCAAATGTGTAATGTATAGATAACACAGGGAAAAACATTGCAATGTATTTGAACCGAAATAATTTATGATAGGGCACAACAAGTTACCTTAAACAAGGTTCATTTAATTTCCAACCCTATTGTACTGCTTATAAAGGTAAAATTAAAAAATAATTTGAGAGCTTGGGCCTGTATAATTACAATTACCAATGCTTATGAGCATTAACAGTAAAAGCTAATGAATTTACAATGTCCTTGGTTGTTATCATGAAATTACATCCTGAACGGTTTTACGAATATTTTTAAATTCATTGTGTGTTTTAGAAGACTTTATAATCTGTTCACAGTTAGAAACTTGGTGTCACACATACATCACCACCTTCGAGCCACTATTACCTAACTCATTGTATACACTTAAACAGTTAAATATGTACTCCTTTTTTTTGAGGAGGCAAAATCATCCAATGACTTCTTCCACCTTGGGTTAGTCGAGAGGGAGTGTCCGAGTGTCAGACTCTTTACTGACTAAAACCACCCTGTTCCTGCTCCTGCTCTACGAGCTGGAGCCCCGGCCACCCATTAGACCTTCCGCAGCTCGGTATTGGACATCAGCCCTACTGGGCTGTGTCTGTGGTGGTCTGATGGTGCGCCATAGGCACGGGAAATATGTACCCCTGCCTACCCCATATTCTTTGTAGAATAATAGGCGTTTACTCTTTTAGGTTTGGTAGAATCCTCATGCCTACCAAAAATGTATTGTACATGATTCATTATGATAAGAATTAATTCACAAAAATTATGTATTGTATTATCATAAGTTGACATTGAGTATTATCTACATATCTACCATTAAGTATTTATTGGAAATCATAGTAGTTATTTATAATACTGTAAGTAGAATTGTTTCAAGCATTGATATTAATCTTGATACTATCTAATAGGAACATAAATGTTAAATTAAAATAACTACAAACCGATAAGATTACGCTAATTAGAATCTGTTGAAAATCCTGTTGTGGTATAGAAATATCCAGTAATCATCCCCAAGCGGTCACCGGTGACCGCTCTCCACTAACTACATTTTAGACCTTATTTCCAATGTTTAGAGACTACTTTTGTATGAACAAATTTGGGGGATGATTTTCAACAATTTACAATGGGTTAAGCGTTATCTGAATATATTTTATTTACTGAGAAAGTGAGAAGAGGTTTTTTCTCAGCAGTGAGCCAGTTACATGCTAACGATGACGATGATGGTTGTTAATCAGTTACAAATCAACAGACATTGAAGTTATTGGAACTTTACAATCAACATACAAACTTTATTAACCCCTCATCATTGTAGCCATGTCTTTTTATAGACATAATACATTTTTTGCTTTGTCTTATATAGGGGAAAAGCGGGAAAGGTTGACAGTTGTCATTCTCAATTACTCGATCATCAAGTATTGTTAGAAGCGGTTTTTGTTAAAAATAAGTATGAGTGCAAGATGAATTTCAGCATGTATAGGAATTGTTATAGTATTATAATAATACTTACTCGTTTCATAACATCTACATTCCATGGTGTTCCTTTAGGAAATGTGAAAACGCCAGGGATGCCACCAGTTCGACTTAATGAATAGCAAATACTAAAGGACACGATGCATTGGAACCATGTTATAAATAATGGAGCTTCTAATGCAACCTCCTGGCTACTTAGTAATGTCTTATTTACAAATACTGTTGCTATTGACACAACCCTAAAAAAAAGAAAAATTATAGCATCTGTGTTGAAAGTTGAAGTATACTTATGGCTATGTGTTTTGTAATAGTTTTTTAAGTGGAGTTCTATCGTATGAAAATGCAAATTTTATAACCGGCATTATTCTATACCAGTAAACATTTGACACACTTTCAAGTTATTTGATAAATGTATGGTGGCATGTCCTTCTGTATTATTCAGCCGGCACATATTTCAATGTACTTGCATACGTAAGCAATGCTCTTTATAATAAAAAATATCGTTGTATGGAAAAATCGTATAGGAAAAGGCTATAAAAATATTATTAATACACACCAGTAACAAGAAACAACAATAAATATTGTAATGTATCTTGAACACAAATCTGAACGTGGATTCTTCATTTTCACTGCTTTAAATTAACTGCGTTATTAAATTTATTGTTTATTATCCTCTCAAAACACCATGATACAATGTGAACAGTTTTTAAAGTATGTACTATTTTAATAATTATTTAATTTATGTTTTATCAGCGAGCTACAACACGAAGACGAGCGCCGCTGTTTTTTTTTATTTAATTTAACCAAACATTTCATTCTTCTGTCACAGTATTTTCAAAAACATGCATAAAACGGATGACACTTGTTCTTTCATCTCTGTCATTATTAAAGCAAAACATGAAATAATTAACAATGCTTGTAATTCTGTGTTGAGTCAGTATTGAAATGGACCGCCAGGCAAATCTAATGACATGAAAGCATTATCAGCTTTATTTATGCTACTCGTACTAAAGTCTATTTTTGCACAAATATTTCGTAAGAATCATGATGTTTTTTATTATTTTGACATTTAAAAGTTGGGGTTCATAGCATTAAAATATTATCACACTAACGTCTAGTCTTCTTTGAGAATAACTTAAAACCAGTTTTGGTTACGAATTCTATTACTATAAGAAGATTTCAAAAGTGATTCACAGTACAGTCTTATATACAAGTAGTCTTGGAAACAGTCAAAACACATTTTAAGTCTGATTTAAATGACATTAATTTAGTTCTGTCAATGCTTTTGTATTGTAACAACACTTAAGTTATCGCTCGCCTCGCCGTTGCCCGAAAGCTGACGTCAGTGATTTTAGTATTTTACATTCGCGAATGGAAATAGTTTTCTAAAATTTATACAATTAAACAGTATCTTCAAGGCGACGCGTTAATAACCGATACGTGAAAAAATGGCATCAGCGCCCGAAACAAAATTGCCGGAAACCGACAGCTCAGACGCGGGTTCTAGTTTCTTTGATGACTTTTGCATTCCCGTAAATTTGGTTATAACTGTAATTATCATAATATTGGTGTATAAAATATATGCGAAGTTTACAAAGGTTCCTGCTGAAAGCCCGGCGCTGGAGTTACCCAAAATTCGTAAGGATATGACAGTTGCCGAACTTCGTCAATATGATGGTAACCAGCCTGATGGTAGGGTGCTGGTGGCAGTCAACGGGTGGATATTCGACGTGACGCGAGGACGCAGATTCTACGGGCCCGGTGAGTGCATTCGCACCGCTATTTATAAATAGAGTTGACATTACCATGACTCATTAATTATCCATTCAAAATGCAGACTGTGCACCTTGAGTAACCTTTTGCATTATAAAAACATTGAACGTATTTTTTATTGATATTGAAGCAACTGTCTTAAAATAATACACTGCTAATCTTAATCTTTTTCAAAATTGAAAAGTACCTACCATTATGTGAGTATTTTTGTAATTCAAATGTCTTAATTTCAATATGTTCTAAAGGTGGACCCTACGCAGCTTTTGGAGGGAAGGATGCATCGAGAGGTCTAGCTACATTCTCAGTGACATCATCAGACAAGGAATATGATGACCTTAGTGACCTTAACTCAATGGAAATGGAATCTGTCAAGGAGTGGGAGGCACAGTTCCGAGGTATGTATATAAAATATATGCATTTACTAGCTTCTGCCCGTGACTTCATACGCGCAAAGCAATTTTCAGGATTTATTCTGTCTTAAGAACCTTCTCCTAATAATAACAAATACAACATAAAAAGAATTAGTGAAATCGGTCCAGCCATTCATGCATAATGCCGTGACCAAGGGAAAAAGGGATTCATTTTTATATATATATAGAAGATAGGTAACGGAACCCTGACACCATCTATCTTCACCCTTTTTTACCGTTACGATTTATTATACTTGTTTTTACACATTTTTAAGGGCTCTATTTGTAAACAGCCAAGGTGTCTAATTAGAAATGAACAAGAAATTACTTATGTGATTACTTGTGTTGTTATTACTGATTAGCTATAAAGTTTGCTGGAAGATTGTTCTCTTTACAATACGAGAATATTGAAAGAACTTGTGAATTGATGTACACTATATATCAAGATCAATGAAAACAATAAAGAGTGTACATTCATGAAGGTTCTAATTGGGCCATAAGGACATGTGAGTTATACTTTGGAAACTAAGTACCTAGATAATGTGAAGCCTCTTTTACTTTCAGGAACTAGACTCGAAATCTTGCCTAATAACTTGGTCATTAATTTTAAGTCAAATATAGTTTGTGTCTATCTATCAAGTGTGAACTTATTTAAAACCTAAGTTCACTGTAACTTAATTTATATTAAACTAGCGACCCGCCCCGGCTTCGCACGGGTGCAATATGCATGTATTATACATACAAACCTTCCTTAAGAATCACTCTATCTATTAAAAAAAACCGCATCAAAATCCGTTGCGTAGTTTTAAAGATCTAAGCATACATACGGACATACAGCGAAAGCGACTTTGTTTTATACTATGTATTGATATAGGTATAATAATAATTTATAACGAATCTTATTTAAATAGGTACTTACTTGAGGTTTTTGACACAATTTCGCAAACAATGTTGCAATTTACAAAAAAATACTTGTAATTTTTAACTAATGTTTTAAGGGTGCTATAATATGTAAACATCCAGACAGTCTAATTAGAAATCAACAAGTAATTACTTGTGGTAAATGACACATCTTATTGATTTTGGTACCTCCTTGAGACTTATTTTAATTTTAATTAATAAAAATTCAAATGCAATTTCCAATAAAGTTGTGAATGAGATTCAATTTGAATTGTAGGTTTTTCTTTGGAGTTCTGGAAGCATGCAAAAATAATCATTAATATTTATAGTAAATGCATGATGAAACCAAACAACTAACTAGTTATTACTTTTGTTTGTTTCATTGTCAAATATGTAAATTATATATCCAAAACTGCTATTTTGTTTAGAACACAAAGGTTACAGGTATTTACATCTATACTTATAATAAATCTGTAGAGAGGTCAATTCTGTACATAAAATATATTTAAAAAATAACTATCAAGGGGTGGTTAGGGATCGCTACTGATGCCAAAAATGCAATCAGAAAAATTTTTGTCTGTCTGTCTGTCTGTCTGTATGTTCGTTATGGAAACAAAAACTACTCGACGGATTTTAACGAAATTTGGCACAATTATTCTTTATACTCTTGGGCAGGTTATAGTATACTTTTCATTATGCTACGATCAATAGGAGCAGAGCAGTGAAGGGAAATATTGGGAAAACGGGAGAAGTTACTCCATTCATTAACTTAATACACAAGAGTTACACGCTGACGGAGTCGCGGGCACAGCTATCTATACTTTTCTGCCGGAAGTCACTATTCCACGCGGACGAAGTCGCAGGCAAAAGCTAGTTTATAATATTACTCTCTGTTCCCCGTGACTTTGTCCATGTGGAATAGTCACTTTGGATAGTTCTTCACAGCTCCTCCTCTGTAGGTGATAGCATAGTAATATGTAGCTTATATGTTGCCCCGGCCTATAATGCATATTCATGCAAAATTTAAAGTAAATCTAAGCAGTATTTATGGGGCTTAGCCCAGATATATATACAGACAAACAACCAGAAACTCTAAAAACAATATTTTTGGTTTCAGTATCGACTGTAGATCAAGACCGAAGTATTTTTTAATAAACAATAATTGTACATTTTTGAATTTCCTATGATTTTATTATACATGTATGTATAGATTATGGAAATGAACCATTCATAAATATGCGTACATAATTCATTTACGTACTTGAAATACTACACAAGCAACCATAGTTTGCTGTAGGAAACCCTATAAATTTTATTTGTGTGACCTATTTCTTATTGAGCGAAGGTGTATTATGTAAATAACAAGAGGTTAAGGTGCTGTACGTCTAAGTAAGTTAGTGGAAATAAAAAGCTAATCAGGCGTAAATTACCGCTTGAGTAAACTGAAGATTGGTATCTTAGTAGATGAATATTCCTTGTGATATTGGAGATACCATAAGATTTTTTTTTACTGTATAATTAACACTATCGTCTGCTAAAACCTTGGCCAGCATTACTCGGATAAAAGGTCTATGACGTGATAATCCAGCCACTAATCTATATCTCTGCTAATTTTCATTCAAATCCGTTCAAGCATACTACTGTGAATCAGTGACGAACATCCATCTAAATCTAAAGTTTTGCATTTGTAATATTAAGTCGAAGTCAAAATCAAAGTATTTATTTCAACAAATCCTTAAATAAGCACTTTTGACACGTCAAAATTGAATTGTCCACTTGTTTGTCTCTCGGTGATCCTAGGTGCTCCTTTCAACGATTAAGAAACTCCATCTTTACGTTAAGTATAGATTCGTTTATTAATTCATAATTGTTATTTTAGTCTATTCTATAATCTTCATCAATTAACTGGCACATTATAAACCGCGAACTATTTCAATATGTTTTTCTAAGTTCTAAAGATAGCACATTCAATGCATCACTTTTTCACACCTTTACGTCATTCGCTCAATTAATGCACACTGGGAAAATAAAATGCTCTCGATTCTCGATTGAAGTGTCTGCAGACACACCTTAGCTATATCGTCCAACGTACGTCATTCTGTTACCATTGTTAACTGGTAATAAAATGTTAATCCATTAAATACCACACCCTAAACTGTTCTTGCACTAATATCTGATTAAGTTACTCTTTGACACAGTCATATTTGATTTTGATTCGTACGAAACATTAGATTACTTCAATGTTAAAAGGCCCTTATTGGTGCATTCCAATAACAACACGATACTTGATAATATTCGCAGAGTTCAAACATCTACAGGGTGGAATGTTGTAATGCTACCTGAAGGGGATGTACCTGCTCTCAATACTTTAAATGATAGAAAATCTTACTCAAAGAAAACATTCCTTTTTTGAAAAGAAAGAAAACGGCATTCAAAGATTTTTTTTAAAAACACGGTAATCGACACGACGTAAATCTGGAAAAGTTGCACCCTGTACCTTATTGCATCGATCGTTAGGGTCAATAAGGATGAAATTCATAAATTGAATGAAAAGAAAACAATGAAATCTTAAATTATTAATTCAATGATTGACCCAATGGTTATAGCACTTACAGTATTAAGAGTTCCCCTTCAGGTGGCATTACAAAATTCCATCCTGTATAACAAATGTTTACACCAATTTATATTAGACTTTATACAAAAGGTAATAAACGTGTGAATGGCGTAATAATTGAGAAAATGTTGCTGTATCAAAGCCCAAACATCTCTATTGTGTTTAATCAACTAATTACTTAATTACAGTGTAAATAAGATTCATTACATTTTTTACCGTTGTGTATTCGTAACATTACACACTCAAAATAATTGGCTTGAATTTCCATAGTGAGTTTTTGTTCACGAAGATATCATTAGGGTTGTTCTAAAATTCGCTATCCATACTACTGATATTTTTTAGTCGCGGAGAACCTAACGGGTTACCGGGGCTCCGGCTCGACGTGCAGGAGAAGGAACGGGGTGGTTTTTAGTCAGTAAGAGTGTGACTCTCCCTCCCGCCTCACCCAGACGGGAGCAGTCATTCGATGATTTTCCCCCCTTAAAAAAAAAAAAATCCATTCTACTGATATTTTTTAGTCGCGGAGAACCTAACGGGGTACCGGGGCTCCGGCTCAACGTGCAGGAGAAGGAACGGGGTGGTTTTTAGTCAGTAAGAGTCTGACACTCCTTCCCGCCTCACCCAGGCGGGAGAAGTAATTCAATGATTTTCTACCCTTAAAAAAATACTACTGATATTTTATTGGCTTCCTTCGCATGTCATATCTTAAGTGGAAATGTGATCAATCTTAACATTTTCCGAGTTCATTTATGCTACTGCTAAGCTTGTCACTTTTTATGTCGTTATGCGAACTGGATTACATTGATTGCTCTTAACGCCTCAAATCTACTAAAGTTAAAGTAAAGAAAGTTATTAAGGAAAATCCAACATGACACGACCAATAACCGTTGTTCCTCACACCCATTAGGAAATTAGGTTATCACAGCAGTTACGTTATCACATTTTATCAGTGACTGGTTACAAATCGATGCGACTAACCCCCAGCCGACTAATATCTCGTTCTTCGAAAGTGAATGAATAACAATATCGTGACACAGCACCAGACTTGTTCCATTTTCCGAAAAAGTCAAGCTAGAAGGCGCAGTAGATTGCGATATTAGTCCCATTATTTTATATAGGTCTTAAACTGATTGCCGAAGAGAGCCTAACTTGTAGTTTAAGTTGAAATCACAAATTAAACTAAGTATGAGTGTGAATACAGTCACAACAATCCAACAAACGAAGCACGATAGCAATCCTTTTTATAATAACTATCGTCAATCGTGAGACATACTAAATTAACTAAAAATCGCGGGTTACTCACGTGAAAGTACTGAGAAAGGCTGCGGGACAAGTCCGCGACCGCGTACTCTGCTCATGAGAGTGAATCCGTCCGTGGTTCGAAACTAGTAGAGCTTTTCTCAGTAATTAACTAAATTTTTAGGTACCTATTTAAGTAATTTAACAATCCATTCCATAAACCTGCATTGTT